TTGAAGGTTTAGAAAATTGCTTTCTGATAATCAGAAAGCAATTTTCTGACCAAGTTCTAAATAAGTATATTAAATATATGGACAATTCATTTTATGGTCTCTCAATATGGATATTAGATTAATAGTATTTGAGTTCTGTAAAAAAAATTTAATTTCAAATCCTTTTAAAAAAGATAAATTAAAGTTAAATTAGCAGGAGAAGACTTTGTGCAAGGATTTTTAAAACGCCATTCTTATTTATCACTAAGAAAACCAGAAGTAATTTCTATAAACATAAAGACTATGGTCATGACAATGGATTGTTTTGCTATCGCTACCATCACACATAACTCATAAACTTCAACCATTGGACCGTGTATTTTTTAAGCCTTTGAAAACCTTTTTTAATCAAGCATGTATGAAATGGATGCGAAATCATTCAGGAAGACGAATTAAAACAGAAAATTTTGGAGAAATTTTTTAATGAAGCATATTTAAGGGCTGATAATACGGAAAATGCTACTTCAAGTTTTAGAGCAACTGGAATTGTCCCATTTAATCGGCATTTATTAGAAAATGAATATCCAAAGACATCTTTGAGTGATAATAAAATGAGGTTATCCATACCTCATAAAATCAACTTTGAACGTGATAGCAAAAAAAAAAAATGAATTTTTACAGCAGCCAGAGTCGACTACATTAGAATTAATGAGTCATGGCAAATTAAAGCCGATTGAAAGCTTTTCAGAGACTACTGTTACTTCATCTAGTTCTTTTGAAGACACTTCAAATTCCAAAACTTTATCCTCAAAAAAAAAAAACCTGAAAAATCTCAGATTATAACTAGTTCTCTATATAGGAAAAAAATGACAATGACAATAAATTAAATAAAAGAAATATAAAAAAGAACAAAAAGAAAAGAAAATTAAAGAAATGCTTGATTGAAATAGATGTAAACAATGAAGAGGAATGGTTTTATCCAATTTGCCAAGATGCAATGGTACCCAAATTGACTGTATGGCTTGTTGTCTATGTACTGTTTGGGTACACGAAGACTGCACATTAAACGAATTTGCTTTTTACGTGAACAGATTTTATTCAAATTTGTTGACTAACATGAAACTTCGCAAGTGCATTTTTCATATTGATACTATTTTTTTAATTCCTATCTAATTTTTTGACTTAAAAGTTAAAATTACATTATAAAATGATACCTTTGTGTTTTTATTTGCGTTCTTATATTTAATCAGATCGAATTTATCAAAAGTTTGCTTTAATTTTATTGAAAATTATATTTTTACTAAGTTATTTCTTCAAATAAAATCTGTCTCACTTTGCTCCAGGTTTTGAGGAAAGTGAGACAGGGTAGCTGCTGCTATTTTGAATTTAATTATGTAGCAATGCAACAACCTATCACCACAAATATTTAAGAGATCATTAGACACATAATGTACTAGCGGCCTGCAAAATTTCTTGTTGTAAAGCGTCATACTTCTCAAGTTATGAACATTCTCCCTGAAAGTGTCTTGCTTTGCCCCAGGTTACCCTAAACATTGAAAACAATTCCAATTTTCATTTCTAAAGTAATTCATCAAGTTAGAGCGTCAAATAAAGAAGGTGGAGATTTGTGTATATAAAAATTCAATTTTATTCAAAATTAAACCACAGTTGAGTTTAATCACTAATGATTATGAATCTTTATGCGTTGAAGTTATTAACAAAGCCTTCAAGAAACACCGTCATCCATGCTTTATATAGACTGCCCTCAAGAAGTATTAATTAAATTAAGTTTAATGTAGTAATTAAAAATAAATCATCTTCAAATAAATCGGTTTATATTGTTGGTGACATCAATTTCAATATATTAGGCAAAAATAATAACATTAAGAACTTATTTAAGACAATTTTTCAAAATAGTTGCATTCAACTAATCAATAAACCAACTCGAGTAACAAGGAAAAGTGGAACGTTTTCAGATCAAATTATTACACATGAGTTCGTAAATAATAATATAAGGACAGTAATATTTAAATCTGACATTTCGGATCACTTTCCTATTTTTATTCTATTGCAAAAAAGCAACAAGTATGATGCCCTTTTACTTAAGTTATGCAAACAATAAAAAGATTGCTTAGCAACCAAAATATAGGATAGTTTCAAACGTAGATTGTTTCTCACACACAAAAATACTTTTGATGAACTCAATATCCTAAATGTATATAAAATAAAACTTTTATCATGTTTTTATTTTCATGTTCAAACTTGATCAAAATATATTACCAGTCTGATTTTATTCAATTTTCGAAAAAATAAATCACATATACCCTACTAGATTTTCAAAATACAACTACATTTAATCCAAAACTCATTACTCTGCTATTAAATTCTCTATTTAAACTGAGGACCAAATTTGAGGAACATTATATTAAATAATAAACTGAAAACCAATAATTAATAAACCAATTCAAAAAAAAACTTAAGTACTAACTACTTAAGTTTTGTTTCAAACTACTTAAGTTTTGTTTCAAAACAAAACTTAACTACTATTGTTAAATGAAAATGTATTCAATTTCTTCTAATAAAGCTTCTTTAAATTAGAAATCAATAATAATGGTTACTTAATTAACTACTGTAGATTATTAATACATAATTAATCAACATAGATACATATATTTTATCAGTGTTGATAAACGGTGTAAATCTTCTTACCTCCACTTTTCTTCCGCAGCAGACGGCTGCTGCCTCCCGATCAATTTTTAGAGGCAAAATGTTCTTTCTTCCGCCTGCAGTGGCTTCCGCTTTTCTATTGACGGCCGCAGCCGAAGTTCTTTTTTGGAGGCAAAATGGAGGTTTTCTATTGGCGGCCGTCAAATTGGAGGCGGAAATATTTGCCTCCCACTGGCGGATGTGATGAAAAATAATTGCTCGTTTGCTTTAAAGCAATTAAATATTAACTAAAAACAAATGTTAAATACTTGACATCAAAGTTTTATTTTATATTATTTATTTAAAAAAACTTTTGAAAAAAAATTATAACTTCGTCAGAGCGGTTGTTTATCTACTATTGTCGACAAATTAGTAATTATTGTTTCAAAACAAATATTAAAAATTAAAAATCTTGTTTACATGCCTTAAGCAAAAAATAAAAAGTTTATGACAAATAATTAAAGTTTTTTATCGTTTGATATTTTGTCGCCCTTACGTCACGCTAAAACTTTAATTTTTCGACCATAACATTAAATTATTAATTCTAGTCATTATATATTGTAAAAATATTTTAAAAACACAACATCTTTTAACATTATTAAAAATTAATAAAGTTAATTTATTTAACATTTATTTATTTTTTACAACAAGCTTATTTATTACAACAAGTATTTAATATTTATTTCTAGTTAATATTTAATTGCTTTAAAGCAAACGAGGTATTATTTTTCATTACATCCGCCGGCGAGAGGCAAATATTTCCGCCTCCAATTTCTGCCTCCAAAAATTTCTTTTGGAGGCAGCCACCATTGGCTTCCGCCACTCTATTGGCGTCCGCCTCCAAAACATTTTGCCTCCAAAAATGAACTCCGGCTGCGGAAAAGCGGAAGCCACTGGGGGCAGAAGAAAGAACATTTTGCCGCTAAAAATTGATCGTGAGGCCACCGTCAACAGCTTCCGCCTCCATAATGAGTCGGCCTTTCGGCAGAAAGTTACTTTGCTGCCGGGCGGCAGCAAAGTAACTTTTTCGGCATTTAAAATGATAATCCTCTTGAGAAATTTATTTTTATTTTTGCGTTGTTTATTAATCCTTTACTTTTACTTTTAACTTTTATTTGCTTAATTTTATTAATTATAAATTTAATTAAATAAGTTGAACTATAAATTTCTCTAACAATAAAATGTTTTATATAAAAACATATCTATATATTTTTTAAAATAATTCTTAAATGTTATTTTTGTCATTTTAAAACTTTATTAAATTTTTTTTTTTAATTTTACAAAACAATTTTAAACCTTATTCTTTGAAAAACTATAGATTTTAAACGCTAAGCGATATATTTACATTTTCTTCTATATTACTAATTCAGAGATATATACATTGAAACTATACTTTATTGTTAAACTATTTTTTATCTGGTAATGACACATTTTTTGGGACTCGGTGATAAGACTAAATTTGTCTTCTTCTTGCCCCGGTCATGTAATTATTTTTTATAAGTTACGACTGCAAACTTTTTTTTTTCCCTTATTCGCGAGTGTAAATAATAGTAATTTTTTTTTCAAATGTTTTAAATATATCGTGAATAATATTAATAATTCCAAGTTGTTTGAATAGAATATTGCTAATGTTTTGAAAACTAAAATTCAAATATACATAATCCACTCTAATATTTAAGAGATATCGAATTTTTTTTTAGTTTTCAGGATTAGAAATGTCACTTGATTATAAATAGGTATAACAATTTCAGGTTTCTCAAGATAAACAAAGAGAGAATAAAATCATGTAAAAAAGGGATTCTCAAGTGTTTTAACAATTTTTTCATTCTTTACAATTAATATTATCTACACTTAAAAGTCCTACACTTTAGTTTTATTTTAAAATTTACACTGCAATCTAAGAGCAGTTTTAGCGATCCCATAATTGTCCATTATGCCCTGTAAAGCTTTATTTGGTTAGATATGACTAAATGTGATACTTCAATTGTTTCCTTTTGTGACACAAAGGAGAAACATATACTAATAAAATATTGGGTAGGTGTTTTAGCAATTAAAGACTTTAAAATTATTTTACTATTAATATGTAAGACTATTTCTGTTTGTTTTTTTTTTTTGTTTTTTTACCAATTAATTCCTAAATAATGCTCCAAATATTTTGTCGTATTTGTTTTTCTTTAATTACTCTTTAGAGAAATATTTTTTAACTCTTTAAAAACACTTTATTAAGTTACGTAATTAGTAATACTTTTTGTAAGTAGTGATGCTAGCTCTTGTCGTCAATTTCTTTATCGGACTTTTTTCGAAGTATTTAGACGGTTGTTGTTGTTGTTTTTTATTTATTTTTTATTAAAACTTTACAAACTCGTGATCGTAAATATAAACTGATTCGTTTTTAATTTATAAAATAAAATATCGTATATATAATGAGAACTATTTAGTACAAATATTAAATTTAGCACAAATAATAATGATAAGTTGAAAGAACGCGGAAACTTGCCATATGTGTTCTTGTCATCAAGAAACTGCTATTTGAGATACTTTTGATACCTAATCTATAAAAAATCCAGTTTAACAAAGTTTCATAGTAGCATTAGAATCATATGTAATAGTATATTAGATAATCAAAAACAGATTTAAAAAAAAAACTGTATTTAATTCACGATTATATATAATTACATGCATGGGCGCCGAGAGGGAGGGGGGGCGAAATGGACAATTTGTTTCAGGCAGCAGATGTCCAAGGGGCGAAAAATAAAAAGAAAGTACCTTTTATTAAGGCGTCAAATAAAAAAAGGTCATTTACTGATATTAGAAAATTTAGAAAAATTGGGGCGCCAGTCAGGGTTGCTGTCCCAGGCGGCAAGAATGCTTTCGGCGCCCGTGATAATAATTTTAAATTAATATTAATCAAATTAAATTTTAATAATCTAATAAAGTTAATAAAATCTAATAATATTAAAGTAGTTTTATAAAAAATATAACATTTACTTTGTTTTGAAGTTTTTAGAGTTTTTTAGTTTGTGTTTTAATATACATGAAATTGTTTATGTTTAAAATGAGTTTTTTTTACAATATTTTAAGAGAGCTTAGTTGATCTAGTTTTGTAAGTTTTTAATTTGTTACAAAGATAAGGGCCACGATATGACATAGAGAAACTTGATAGTATTTGGTTTTTTATATGCTATATTAAAATTTCCTATTCTTTAAGTGTCATATCTAAATTTCGGACCGCTCAAAATGTCTATATCAGTGCACTGAAAATCCGCTGAAGAATGTTTGCTGGGTTTAGCAAATGTTTAGCCTGAGAGATCTTTATTAAGGACTATTTTTTTTTGCATGTTTTTGATGTCTATAAACCGCCTATGCACGTATTTATGTATGAAAAAGAAATAATACTATTGTTATTAATAGTAACATTTATTATTTATAGCAACTTCAACAAAATTTTGTAAAAAATAAATCGTTTGATCTGTAGGTTGTTTTCTATAACCAGGTGTTACCTACCACCAGATCTTATTTTCTTTTGCAGTTTGTAGCTGCGCTTCAATTCTCTTTTAGTGATAAAAGGCATTCTTTTATTCCAGGGCCCGTAGGATTTTTGATGTTTCCGGTATTGTGTAAACTCTAAACTTAAGTATGTTCATGTCTACAACCAAATGAGGACGCTTTGTGACAAATTGCAATGACAGAGGCCTGGAAACAAAAATTCCCTTAATCATTTGCACCCATGCCCAAACGTGATGGCAGTGATGAAGTCAAATTTTCAATTTTACTATCTTATACTTAATTTAAAGTCATCAACAGGTTTTAAATTTTATTAATAAATATTTTTAAGTTTAAAAGTTATGACCATACAAAATTTACAACCTCCTTATTATGGGGCGGTTGGATTTTTGATTTATGATGGATTTATAATTAAAATAATTTTATTCATTTAATTTTTGAAAGAATAAAAAATATATAAATTTATCATTTTATAACTATAGAATATATTAAATTTTTTGTTATTTGTTAAATTATTTTCAAATATTAACTAACAAGTTGCAAGTATAGTAAAGTAGAATAATATTATAGAAATATTAGAATAATTAGACGATCTTTAAAATTTAAAATAATAGAAAAATATAAAATATTCTTAATAATAAAAAGTGTTATAAGTTTTCTTATTCGGCATATATAACTGTGTATCTTTCATAAAAAACATATATATACTTCTTATTATGTTATTAGTTTGTTTTAAACCTACAGATAACAAAAAACAGGCTCCAAAAACCAATATTATGATTTTGAAAATTTTACAATCATACATTATCATAAATTACTGTTACTTACTAATATATACTCTTTTATTATCGCACTTAAAATTTTTTAAAAATTTTTAGAGATACAAGTTTTGAAGTATATTTGGAACAAGACATTAAAAAGTTCTTAGAAGTATTAGCGACTGTTCGCGACTGTGTACTAAACGTCGAGTGCTACACAAACAATATTTCGGTGGCAGTTCATTTGCCAGACGGAACATTATCCAATCCTATATCAAACAAATATTTGGCTTCTATATTTTAAAGCTGATTTTATTTGCAAAAGTATTTAAAACAGTTTATTTTTAGTTTTATAGATTAGTGTAAACTCTTTATTGTTTTATGTTTTTATTTTAAACGGTTGACTTTTTGTAAAAATCAAATTATGTTTTCGTTTAACAGTATTAATATTATGTATTGCTAATAATACTTTTTAACTTTCTATAACTTAAATTAATATATTATATTTGCATATTATTAATAAATAAACATAAACTTTTGCTTAGTTTTACTTGATATAAATAATTTTTTTTATAGTAGAAATATTATAATTTTTATAATTTTTATAATTTTAATAATTTTTTTAAATTTTATAATTTTTTTTTATTATAGAAACTTATTTAATGAAAACTATAACCGTACCAAAAAAATTTCGAACAGCATGATAACATAATTCTTGTTTAGGCGTATTTGTAGGATATACGCTAAAAACAAATTTATATATATATATATATATATATATATATATATATATATATATATATATATATATATATATATATATATATATATATATATATATATATATATATATATATATATATATATATATATATATATATATATATATATATATATATATATATATATATATATATATATATATATATATATATATATATATATATAGCATATACGCCACAATATAAACAAATCTATATAATGTTGTGGTGTATTCGTCACAACTTTAAAGTATATTTTATAATTTCTTTATTTAAAAATATGAAAAGAAATTATAGCAAATGTTTTCGAATTTTAAAGAAACCTTTTAATTGCGTATGTAAATGGTACATATAATAAAAGTTTTCATTATGTTTTTTTATTACCCTCTTTCTAATGCTATTTATTTTTTAGTGTATTTATCAATTTATAGTTATCGTTTTCTGAAAAATAATAAATTTTTTCCCATTAAAAATAATATTCTTTAAAATTATATTGATCCGTGTTCAAACTAAATTATGTTGAGAAAAGAAGCGAAATAAGGTATATTCTATAAGCCAATAAACCGTAAACATATCAGTAACAGATGCATTCCCCATCCCCCCCCATCCCCATCCCCCCCCCCCCATCCCCAGAATCTGAAAGTCCTAAAATATCTTAGAAATTGATCTCTTTTTTTTTAAGAGACGAAAATGTGATACAAAATACAAAATTATTTTAGCATCCCCCACCAAAAATTCCTGCATCCGTCGCTGTAACATATTGCAAATAACATTACACATAATAATCTACAAATCATAAACAATCATAAACAAATCATAAACAATCACAAGCGATAAATATTTTTAAAACAAAAGGATATTTTAGATTTTAATCAGGAATTTTCTTTTAAACAAATTTATAACAGTAACTAAATCAAAACTTATTAATATTAAACGATATTACTTGAAACTAGAAGACCAATTCGAATGTTAAAAGATTTATGTTTCCATATAAAAATGTAGTGACAAAAGTTTTATATAAAGCGAATTGACCCATCAATTAAAATTGCTCACAATTTTTGCCTGATGTTGACAATTTAGGAAATTCTTTAAAACTTAAAATAAAACTTACACTAAATGCAAAATCTGATATTGATGTTATTGTTATTTGATGACTCTGATGACATCGATTTCAACTTGTTCCATAGTAAACTAATAGCAGTTGATGCTTCATCAAGGATACAGTTACGATGTTCCATGTCTTAACATTGATAAAATACTATGAGGTTTTTTATTTAAATATCTATACATATTTGTACATAATTCCTTTTAGTCAAGAAAGTTTTTCCGTATTGAAATTTATACCGAAAACTTTTTTATTCTAGAAAGTTTTTCTGAATTTAAATTTATACATAATTCTTTTTGTTCTAGAAAGTTTTTTTTAATTGAAATTACTATCTACAACGTCACTCGAACGTTCTAGAAAAACTATTTTTTTCTTAGGAAAATAATCCATTGAAAAGAACAATGCAAAGACTTTTATTTACACTATTATATTGCTTAAAGCAAAAATGTAAACAAAAACAAAAGATATTAATTTGTTCTATTTTAATTTGGAACTACGAATACGAATTTTTTAGTAAATCTTTTTAAAGATAAAATTTAAAGATTTCTTTTTAAATTCTTTAGAAAAAGTTTAAGCAAATAAAAAAACAAATTCTGCCAAAAAAACATTCACTGAATTTTTTTTTTTTTTCATTTTTTTTTATATAATAATTTTATTTAACATTATTAAATACTGATAACATATTTATAATGAATATGATAAGTATTTTTATAAACTTGAAGACATACAAGTATTTAGAATAAGATGATAATATTTTATTTTTAAAGTTGTCAATTTTTAGTACTTAAAAGATGTCATATATTCTTTATGAAACTGAGTGGTGTAACTTTTTACATGCACAGTAGGGTATATACATCAAATATATATATATATATATATATATATATATATATATATATATATATATATATATATATATATATATATATATATATATATATATATATATATATATATATATATATATATATATATATATATTTGAGAAGGGTAGGGTATATACATCAAATATATATATATATATATATATATATATATATATATATATATATATATATATATATATATATATATATATATATATATATATATATGTTATATTTTATGTATATACCCTATATACCCACAGTAGGTTATATAATCAAAACTAGAATATACTAATGCATGTTCTAGTTTTGATTCAGTACTTTTCCTATGTATTTAAAAAGTTGAATGGTATTTTTTTTTTTGGTGAAAACTCTTGCTACTGGAAAAACGTTTTTCTTTTCTGAAAATATTGTGTTTTTTACCTAAATGTTGTCTATTTATGTTACAAATGTACATAATAACTATTTATAATATTAATTAATCCTATGTTTTATTTATTTATAAATATTATTTCTTTTTCAAACTATTATTTTCTGTATAAGTGGTAGTTAATATTCAAATATACCTTATAAATATGATGATAGACTTATTTTTAAATTAATTGTTATTATTCCTGCTATTCCTGTTTTTCAGATTCATAAAATAGAATTTAAAATAATTTAATATTCATTAATATTCATTCAAAATAGAAAAATGGCGAAAACCAGAAAATCCATCAACACTAAGCTTAGTGAATATTTTGGAGGTCCAAGGAAGTTTCTTCAAACTGAATTTCCAATATTTTTTGATTGTTTGCAGTGATGTCTTGGTCTTGATTTTCAACATTACGTGATTATTTGCAGCAATGTCTTGATCTGCAAAGAGAAAAAATACTAGTTCATGAAAAAAATCCACGTAATTTATCAATGCAAGAAATTTTTTGTAATGTTGCCCATGAAATTGCAGAACAATGGTTTATTTCAAACACAGAGTTTAAAGAGCCTATAGTTTGTGGTACTAAAGCTATAGAACTGAGACTCAGTAGAGTTTGGTCTGCATTCTCTAAGATAGCTCGACGCAAAGCCCAAAAGGCTAATAAAAAATACTGGGAATCTAAACTTGATAAACATTTAGACATTGCTTTTTGCAAATGCAAAATTGTTTACTGGGGTGATGCCCCTTGCAAAGAATCTTGTGAAAATTGTGCTCATTGTCTATGCAAATGTGACTTAAATTTAAGAATTCCACAAAAAGAGCTTGTTTGGATTAAAACCTAGAAAGAAAAACAAGGTAGTGTTTTATCTATGCAAGAGTTTCGCCTAGATGTTAAAGGAACTAAAAAGCTTAGGTTCAAAAACTTTCGTAAGTCAATTGACTTACGAAATGTTCTCAACAACTCTAACTCTTCTTGTTGTCAATTGAGCCTTGCTTAATTAATCAAGCAAGGCTCAATTGACAACAAGAAGAGTCAGAGTTGTCAAGAACATTTTATTCATCTACTATTAAATTTGACGCTAAAAATATGGGTGTTGCAGCAGAAATGAATAATAATTCTAATGTTGATATGGTCAGTGATAGTGATAAAGTCAGTGTTAGCAAAGAAGACTCAACATTAGAAAAACAAGAAAATTATCTTAGGCGAAATTACCTTGATATTTGTAATGTTGCCATTGCCTCTGTCAGATTTGGTGTGTCATCTACTGCTACTGCTGCTATCATTAATGGTCTTCTGAAAGATATCATGAAGGCAGGAAAACTTGTTGAAAATAAAAATAATCTCATTTGTGATAGAATGAAAGTTTTTCGTGCTAAAGAGTGTGTTATGAAGTGTTTTAGAGTAGAAGAAAATATAGACTGTGAAAGAAATATAATCAGCAGAATTTTTGTTGATGGTAGAAAAGATGAAACTTTAATCTTTATGCACGATAAGACCACAGATACCTTCAGAAAAAAAATTATTCAAGAATACCATATAACTGTGATAGAGGAGCCTAGAGGTTGCTATCTTATTCATTATACACCAGAGCCTAAATCTGAATTATGTAAACCAGCCAAACAATGTGCTATTGGATTATTCAACTGGTTAATGGAAAGAGGTAAAGATCTTTTGTGGAGGAACTTATTAATCTAAAACTTTTTAGATCATTTTGCTGGCTTCACATTAATGAGTTTGCATTTTGTCATATTGTGGAAAAACTTGATGGGCTAACTTCTTTGGGAAAAGGATGGTGTAGAGCAGTTGGTAAACTGTTTTCTAAAGTTGATATTCTTGAAAGAATTACTAAATTTATGCCAATTCCTCTTTTGGAGCCTTAAGTTAATATCAGTGAAGATTTTGTTAAGCAAATGAATACTGACAGTTTAGTTGCATGGAAGTATTTAAATGCAATATTAAAAGGAAACCTTGATACTGAAGTAGCAGTTCTTAAATGTGGTAGATTGTCTCACAGTTGATGGCTTACTTGTGGCATAATATGCTTGCTTCTATGAGCAAACATGATTTAAAACCTGAGAATGCAGAGGTCTTAAAGCTCCTTGCAACTTGGGTGACACAGGTTTATCTTCCAATGTTTTTTGAAATTAAAGTAAATCATGACATTAAATATGGTTCTGGTTATCTTTTAAAGCTAATCTTTGGCAGAAGCAAGATGATAGTGTTAAAGAAGCCTCTAAACCTTATCTAAAAAGTGAATCCTGGTGGGCACATCCTGAAAATTTACTTGTTGCACTTCTCTGTTCTGATAACTCAGAACAAAGGTCATTTGCAATCGACATTATATTAGAAGTCAGAGCCGGAAGTGAACATGGCTCTACGAATGTGAGACCTTTTAAAGTTCCACAAACAGTAAACCTTGATGCTTCGGAAATCAAAGAACTTATTGATTGGAAAAAAAGAAATCATTACTAAACTAGTTTTCACAGCAAATTTGTCTTTAGCCCAACTCAATGCATTGAGAGTTTCTCCCCTCAAACTTCCTTTATATACGTTGCATACCCAAAGTTGTGAGAGGTCAGTCAAATTAGTTACCACGCTGAGTCTGTCTGTGGTTGAGATAAAAGAAAAATCGAGAAAAAATGCCAGTGATGAAATCAAAAAAAGACTTAGTTAAGTGGCTGATGCTAAAAAAAAACTGTATTGTAAATTGTTCAAAACTATTTCTCTCTAGTTTTCATACAGAATGATTGTATATATATATATATATATATATATATATATATATATATATATATATATATATATATATATATATATATATATATATATATATATATATATATATATATATATATATATAGTTAGTAACAGTTTTTTATTATTAATTTGATATTATTTGGTTAATATTACTGCATTTTTTACTTGGCTAAATAGTGGGAATGCCATAATTGGCAAAATTGTTTTTGCAATTATGGCATTCCCACTATTTAAATAAAGGTTTGTGTGTTTTTAGGTAGGAAGGGGGGGGTGTAAACAATTCCAGTCTCTTTGCTAAACTTTAGAAAACTTTTGGAATGCATAATATGTTTTTAAAAAAAGGTTTTTTTGTTTATGTTTACATAAATAATAATCGTAATATATCTTGATAATTATAATAAAACTATCAAATATTGACAGGGGGGCGGCCAGGACACCTAACGGTTTTTATGCATGCCTGGCAGAGTAATCTTGGGGGGGGGGGGTCAATGATAATTTGATCTGTTATATTACTTGTAGTTCATTTTTACTTTGTAAAATTTTACTTTGTATTAATATTTGTCTAAAACATTTAAAAAATTAAACCCTACTTTAATAGGATTAATTTTAAATAAAACCTTAATTTTAAAATTTCTTTCCCGGTAGCTAAACATTAATATTTTACAAAAATATTATTAAAATTGAATTTCCCATGCCCAAATACTTAATAATCCAAGCTAGTCAAAATTTTGAAAATTTAAATTTTTCTCTGAAGTATGATATACCCTAATGCACAGTTTTGTGTGGTAGTTGGTTGGAACCTTTTTAAAGGATTTTTTTTTATAAATACGTTGAGAAAAAGACACCTTAAAAATTTTATTTTTTGTATAAAAAAAAATGCCCACGACAAATAAAAAAAGCGCAGAGTTTGCCTTCTTCTTAACTTGCTTCTAAACTGCGTAATTAAAATACGTCATGTATTAAATCATACTGCGTAATTAAAATACGTCATGTATTAAATCATAATCATAAACTTTATTCTTAAGACTATGATTAAATGCATTTAATAAATTTTGAAAATATGTTAAATGCATTTTTAGGTTGTCAAAATATTTTATGTTACTTTTATAATAAAACCCAGTACATAATTTTAGTTAATTTGATATTTTGATAAATTGATTTTAAGGCCTTCCGTTTCGGGTCCCAAACGGAATTTATTTAAATCTATTTTAACCGATCTATTTAAATGCTCAAAGCAAAAATAAAATATGGCTTTTTAAAGGAAAGTTGAATGGTCTGATAAAACAGTACAATTAGAATCAAAATCATACGTTAAACTGGATCAAGTTGGTAACAATACACAATGGTTGCTATGTAACTAGGCACTTTACGATTTTCCTATTATAATTATCTCTGGCTATAATTAGTACCAAAGTACGCGGATAATAAAAACGTTTTTAGAATGAGTTTGTTTTTTTTATTTGAATAAACGGTTCCCAAGTTATGAAAATTTATGTTGGGTTCAATAACCCCTATTTCGCGTCAAAATATTTTGAGTTTTCCTTAAGGATTTATGGCTTCAAATTTTGATATTAGGTTTATCTTTCAAATGGCATTGATGAGAAAGAGTTTCATTGAAGTACTTATGCTAAATTGTCTTTATTGTCTTATTTTACTAAAGAACCAATGCATTTAAATCTTAAACAATTAATTTATTTAATTCCACAATATATTGAAAAATTAACTTTAGTTAAAAAAAAAGATTTTATTCTGTCAGAGTGAACAACTTCATTTACATTTAAAAATATTAAGAAAATATGTAAAAATCTAGGACCTGCTTCCCCCAATTAGGGTAATTGGGCCAAGAATAATCAAAGCTCTGTAAAGACAATAAAAATTAGTTTTAGTTGAAAAAAGAGCTTTTTCAAACTGTCAGAATGAATAAATTCATTTATATTTATAAATATTAGAAAAATATGTAAAAATACACAGGGCCCGTTTTCCCATTTGGGGCAAAATGGGACAAGAGTATAAAAAAATCTGTTAAAAGCGTAAAAATTAACTTTAGTTAAAGAAAAAGAGATTTTTCTAATTGTCAGAGTGAAAAAATTCATTTACATTAATGAATATCAAAAAAATATGTAAAAATTTCAGATCTTTTTTCCCCGAATCGGAAATTTTTACATATTTTTTTTTATATATATGACAATATATTGTCAGAGTAAATAAGTTCATAAGCATTTATAAAAATCCAAAATATATGTAAGAATCCCGGTGCTCGTTTGCCCCAAGAACGATTGCTTTTTTAAGTTGTAAGAGTTAACAAATTCATATACATTTATAAAAATTCAAATTTTCCGGAAAGAAATGACTTTGTAAACTATAGAAACGCAATGCCTTGTCCAACCATTGACTGAAACACTCCATCTACTTAGTAGTTTTTCCTTTATATATGAAATGTGGTGGAAGAGAGTTACCCATTGCATTGACACAAGCTATTACTCTGATTGTTTCCCGGTTACCTGATTAACGACAATGTAGATACTTAACTCCTTTTTTTTATCCATTTATTTAACCATAAAATCAAAAATTACAAATTTGATTACAATTTACAAGTTTATGCTTGGTGTCACTCATATAGTTAAAAACTAGTCAGTGGAGAGACATCTTAATAAAATAAACAAACAAAATAAAAAAATATTAAGACAAGGATATATTAAAGAAAGTAAACTACATTAATACAAGTAATAAAAAAAGAAGTATAAGGGACAATAATATTGAAAAAGTTGGAATTAGAACAAAAATATAAAGGAATAACGCTAGAAAAATGAAAAAAAAAGAGAGAATGAACGAATGAAATAAAGATGAGTGAGAAAATATGTAAGAGAAAACAAAAATTTAATAACATAAGTACAAAAGAATATAATTTGCAGAAAAATATAAAAAAGCAAAATAAAAGCAAATTTAAATAAAAAAATATATACATACACTACTGCATACAATATTAAAGCCTATATTACGCATTACATAGATTAGTAAAACAAAAGTAAATATCAAGATATAGAAAAAGAAACAACAAATAAATTGACAGAGAAAATGCAAAAAAGGAAAAATTTTACATTTTTTATATACATAAATATATGACATATAAACAATGTACAAAATTAATTAAAATTGTTTTTTTTTCATTTCTATCTATATAAAATTTTAGTTCTTTTTTATTATTTTCCATTTTCGAAGACTTTTTTCTTTTATCTTTGTTTTTATTTGTTTCGGTTTTTTTTTCGTCTTGTATTTTATTTATTTAAATTCTTTATTCTTGTTTATACACTTATTTTTTGAACTTTTATTTCCAAAATGTTTTTTGATTATTTTTTCTTTATAAAACTTCTTTTTTTTACTTTTCGCCGTTAAATAAACACTTCCTACATTTACGATGTGATTACAAAGATTTAAAAAATAAATACATGTACATTAATATATTTAATTACTATAAAAAATTTTATTTACTCACTAAATAACTTATATATAATTGTAAATTAGTTAACAAATAAAATCATTAACAGCTTTTGTACCTTTTTTCTGTAGGAGTTACATTCTTGAATGATTTTTTATGTTTTAAAAAAAATGTTCAGCATATTTTAAAAATTGAAATCGAACAAATCCGATTCCTAAAACTGCACGATTATATGCGAAATTAATTTCTTTTCTTCATTTAAAATAGTTGAATGTCCAGGTTTGGCTCCCATTTCCGTTACTCCAGAAAGTCAAACTTGTAATGAACATCTTGGAATGGCAAAAGCTTTGCATGCTGCTTGCTGTAAAACTCCATTTTTAACAGCTTTAATTGCTGTTATCGTTGATTCATCATTTCTTAAGCGGTGTTTTCCACGTTTGCTTCCCTGTTTTTCAATTTTCGTTGAATTTTCTATTTTTTTAGTTTTATTATTTTTTCCCATTCTAAAGTAAAGTGCAAAAAAACACCGTGAAAATTTGATATACAAAATAGTTATGACTATTAAAAAATAAATGTTTATGTTTCCAGTGGCGGATTAAGACTTCTTGGGGCCCGAGGCTGTTTTTGTTTTTGGAGGCCTTTTTACGGGCAAGAGCCTAGAAATGACTAAAAAAAAAAAAAAAAGTCCTCTAAAATTTTTGGGGGCCCCTAAATTTGCGGGGCCCGGGGCTATAGCCCTCCATGATCCGGCTCTGTATGTTTCTATGATTATATCATATACATGCACTTTTACATTACAATCATATATATGTACTTTTATTGCACATATATACATGGTTTAGATGGTTTAAACATATCTTGAATACCTCTATGGTTTTCTATAACATCATATTTGGTAAAATGACATTGTAGAAAATTTGAAGCGAACTCTCAAAACTGGAGGCCAGTTTTGCTTCAAATTTTTACGATACGTAAACATTTTTAGAGTATTTTTGTAGGGACACTGTCACTAGAATAACAACATGGTTTGTTATTCAAGGTTTACAAAGGCTTTCTAACCTATCCACATTGTTATTTTATATATGCAGCTAATTAACAAAATAACAAAGCAAAACAAATAAATAAGGTCAAGGTCATGCCGTTGGGACTGAGGTTAAAAAACTAGTCAAATGTTTTTAAAAGATGTTAGTATCTTAAAGTCAAACATGTTGTTAAGCAGCATTATGTAGCAACAAGTATTGCAATAAATCTGTACCTGAGAACCGATTTGTCTTAACTCCAAAAACACAATTTTACGGTAGGAGAAAAATAAAGATTATTTTCCACTTATTCTCTAATTTTTTTAATAATCACTTTAGGAAATTAAAATTCATACACTATGTACAATTCATCGTACTCTTAATGTATGGTTAGTTATGGCGACGGAAATTTCAGATATGTATATAACTCATTTTACCCAGAAATGGAGTTAAGACAAGTTGGCTCTCAGATACAGAAATGCAAATATACTGGGTCCCCATTTTTTGAGAGTCTATAACTATTCAAAACATTTAAAAAGCTTCTTAAACTGCCAAAAGCAATACAAATTGAAGATAAATTATAATTTAATGTCTTCACAAGAGCTCCGTGCTGCAGCATAACTAAAGTTGTGATAAATGATAAAAGTTGCATAAAAAATACAGACCATCATAAAATACAAACCATTATATATACACAGAGAGAAAGAGAATGACCAACTTGAATTACTTAATACACTGCAAAATTTCTGATGGTTTGCATTTTTTATAACCCTATTTATACAACTCCACATTAAAGATTTTTAACACAGAGTACCATAATAGCGTCAAGAAAAATATCGAAATAATAATGAAAAGTATTTTTTAACTTTTAAGTCCAGACATAAAAAACAAATTATTATAAAAATAAATATTAAATATTGTAATTTGATAAGCTAAATAATCTTTTTTGATGTGCTAGAACCCAAACACTAGAAGCCAAACACTAAAACCCAAACACTAGAAGCCAAACACTAAAACCCAAACACTAGAAGCCAAACACTAAAACCCAAACACTAGAAGCCAAACACTAAAACCCAAACACTAGAAGCCAAACACTAAAACCCAAACACTAAAAGCCAAACACTAAAACCCAAACACTAGAAGCCAAACACTAAAACCCAAACGCTAGAACCCAAACAAAGCAATTTAAAACACTATATGCACTTGTCAAAAAGTTTCAATAAAATAAATTATGGAGAAAACAACTTGAAAAAACATTTCTTAAATTTTCGCCAGAGAAATACAACTGGCAATTGGGTTTGAAATTAGATGGCATTAAAATAATTCCCGAAAACTATCATTAAATTATATTACAACTATCATCGCGTCTGTCACCCAAGTTTTGAAATTTTAAGCCTATAAATGAAAATTTAGTATTCTTCCAACAATATCTTCCGAAACGAAACCTCTCCAAAAAAATCTCATTGAACAAAAGCTCTTTTAGATAAAAAAGCTAAAAAAAAACTTATAATCCAATAACTTTACACTGATTTTAAACATTATTAACTTAAATGATTAAAATAAAAACAAGGCGCATAAGTATACGGCAAATATGATTTTGGTAATGGCATGTTAACGAAAAAGTTATTTTGTAATAAATTTTTATTTTTAGTTTTATAATTTTTTTGTCCTTTTAAGATTTTTTGAAACTTTTATATATTTTTCAGTGTAGCAAGCTACTTATTAAAGGTTTCGCTTCATTTTGCTCAAAAAATATGCGGAGAACTACCTCACGCGCAAATATTTTTATTTATTTGTTATTTACTTTTTATTTGTTTTATTTAATTTGCCTTATAATATTAATGACAATAATATTTATAAAATTATACATACAGGACTTCAAGAAGATCCTAATTACCTTATTACCAAGCCTTTAACATTATAAAACTCTATTTTCTTCTACAATAAAAACATTTAAACATCTTATAAAATAGATATATAACGAAAATATATAACCACTAAATATATAATAAACTTAATACTGTACATAGTTTAAAAGTGAAACTCACAATAGAACAAAACAAATTTTTGTTTAAAAAATAATTTTTTTATAGATTGTTTGAAAAAGGAATTGATCATTTCAGATGAAAAAACAAAATTAATCCGTACTATTTGATTAAAAGCTTTGGTTAAAAACAAAATGCCTTTGGTTGGAGAGATAACTTTTGAACCAACTTAGAGTTTTATCTGCTCTGCCATAGAATTCAAGTTTTTTAAGCAAAATATTATGATTGGCCGTGTCAAAAGCTTTTAAAAAGTCAATGAAAACACCAAATAAAAATTTTAGATTTTTGGAAGATTCATTAATACAACATGTTAATTGAAGAATAGTATGTTAGGTATGATTAGGTATGAGTGCTAGGGTGGAGTGAAAATAACTTTTTTTTAATAAATTCAATTTCTCTCCCAAATTTCTATATTATTTATAAGAAAACTAAAAAAGTGAGATTAAGATGAGCTAAATTTGAGAAGAATTACACCCTCGCAGCAATTTTTTGGTCAAACCAGGCAAATTTTAAGAATTTTCTATATTTTAAATTTTTTATTTCAAACATTGATTTGTAGTATTCTTTTCGAAATTGTTATTTCTAGTTCATTACCACGTTATTTTAAAGGAGTTGAACAGGTGAATTTTTTACATAATACTAATATACATGTAGTAAAAATATTACTAAATAGTGTAATAATGTGCCTTGGTGATAAATATTGGCATACTTTGTCTTGATTGCAGGCGGACACGTATCATACCATCTCATTTTATTTTATCGCAAACCGAGGCAGAAACACTTTCACTATCGTTATACAACGTTCTAAAGCTTGCGTGTGGCACGGCTACTTATCCAAGAGATAATTATAAAATTAAGAGTCGGAACTTTGATTTGCCGCACACTAGTTTGATTAGTATTCACACTTCTTTCTTCTCTATCTTTCTGTATACGCCTAACATCTTATTCTCGGATTTATGGCTGTTCATCTGATATCGTTGCCAGAACAATTTTATTTTGATGACCAAAAAATGCATTTGTTTGAATGACTTTGAATAACTACTACCTTACATAGTTCATCTGACAGAGACCGTGATTTGACTATTGTACTGCATAGATGCCTGCTGCCATGAAACATAAAAGACTCCTTCTTGATGATGAACCACATAGGGGCATAAACACAATAATGTATGTTGCTACAGTAACTGAATTTGATGAAGAACTGGTGGTAGAAACATATAATCTAAAGATTCTGTTGGCAGAGGTAAGCCATCTAGAATGAGCCAGTTTTCCATGGCAGCCCTTTCCATGGCAGAAACAATAGAATCTAGTGGCATTGCATCTTAAGGTTTGAATTCTGTTTGCTTTGGGTGTTCTGCAGTTTTGCTGTAATTTTTTTGTCAATATATCAAATACCTATTTTACGTTCAATCCTTTGATCTTTTAGAAAAGTGTGCTCCATACCTGGTACCATACTAACTTTGGCACAGCAGCATATTTCAGCATATTTTCAGATCTTTGCATTGGCAAGCAGATATATCAAAAAGCTGAAATTAATTATTTTTATTTTCTCTGTCAGCTATTGAAACTTTTTGCAGCTTTTTGCATCACATCTTGTTCTGTTGGCAGATGCACCTCAGAGAGATGCACCTCAGAGAGAGGCTTTAAAAACCCAAAGAATGGAAGATATGTTTTCGCTCTTAACATTCTGTTTACTGAAATATATTTAGCAAAGTTTTAGTATATTTTAGTATTACCATAGTATAAGTAAACATAGCAAAGTATCAAACTCTATATAGAAACATGTCAACTAGTGCCGGATCAAGAGGGAAGGAGGGGGGGGGGGGGAAATCTAATAGGGGGGGAGGACTATAGTTCGGCAAATTTAGGGGCACCAAACAATTTTAGAGGACTTTTTTTTTTTTTTTTTTTTATAGTCATTTTTAGGTCCTGGCCCATAAAAAGGTTTTCAAAAACAAAAATAGCCCCGGGCCCCAAGAAGTCTAAATTCGTCACTGATGTCAACACAAAACATATTCAATTAATTAAAATTCTTAATAAATGTATTATACATTATAACGAATTTTTTGTTCAATTATAAATAATATGATTTTTTTACAATTGAATTTACAATTGAACAATAAATTTGTAATAAAAATTTAGAATAAACAATAATTTTGTATTTAAAAAAATATTCTTTTTTTAATACAAAAGTGATTATTTTGCTCATAATACTAATGGGTAATTCAAACATACCTAATATGTTTTCAATTTGTAATTTCTAGTTAAAGAAATATTGTTTAATGTAAAATTTGCGCTACCAATAATAAGCAAAAATTGCTGCAGGGGGTAATTCTTGTCCAATTTTGCTCATTTTACTCTTGTTTTTTAAGTTTTTTTTATAGCTAATATAAAAATCAAAAAGAAAAACTTCTGAAAAATGTTATTTTCATTCCACCC